AAGTTCTTCTTCAGAGGCTAAAACAGAAATGACAGAGGTACATACATTAACATGGGGGTGCACACAAACATGCAGGGATGAAAGAAGAAACACAAAAGGAGGATTAGGTGCGAAAGGTGTGGAAAGATGCAGGGGAGGGTGGATGAGAGAACAAAGAAACAAAGGGAGATGGCAAACCACAAGGGGTCTGGTATGAACAGGGGAGGGACCAGAAAGGGGAAGGATCAAAGGTCACAGGGAGTGGGAACGGACAAAAGAGTGTGGGAGTGAAGGGGGATTATGCGGGGGGGGGGGGGGGGGGGGGACAGTATGGAGGTGGAAAGGGATGAAAGATGGGGAAAGATGGGGAAACACAAACAATGAAGACCAGGTGGATTATCTGTAACAGAAGACAATGGAGGAAGAAAAATATTAATCATTTCCAAGTTGGATGTTGAGACCATGTGGTTGAATAGTTCGAAGACGATTCATCCACACTTTCTCTCTGCTGAGGCGAACTGAGTCCTTGCGATGGCCAAGAGATTCAATGCCCTGCAAAATCATATCAGAAATGGAGTGGTTAGGCAGGTTGAAGTGATGACCAACAGGGGTGTCTAGTTTCTTGGTGTTGACCGTTGACCGGTGGGCATAGAAACGCTTCTTGAGCGTATTCTTAGTCTCACCTACATACTGCACTCCACAGACCCTGCAAGAAATAAGATATATGACATTAGGGGTGTTACAAGTGATGTTACCAATGGTTCTGTGGGTAGTGACAGAAGAGTGGCCAGAAAAGGAGTCAGACTCCTGGATATGAATCTGGCAGACAACACATCTGGAACTGCACTTGAAAGTACCATGCTGGGTGGGAGGGGATGCATCTAAGGATGGGACTTCAGCTCGAACAATCAAGTCCCGTAGATTTCGAGGACGCCTGTAAGCCAATGTGGGGCGGTTGGGGATGGCGCGGGCAAGGCGATCTGAAGTATGGAGGATATGATGATTGTCATTAGTGATTTTGCGAAGGGGAGGGAGATTGGGGTGAAACGTGGTAACCAAGGGAATCATGGGTTTGGCCATGGCATCAGGGGCCTTTCCCGTGAGAGCTAGATTTCTGGGGATAGCTTTAGCTCTGGCAATGGCACGATGAACTTGGCGAGAGCTGTGACCCCTGGCCACCAAGTTGTTCCTCAGTATCTGTGTATGGCGGGAGAAATCGGAATCATTAGAACAAATTCTTCTGAGTCTGAGTGCCTGGCTAAACGCTATGCCAGTTTTGCAGTGCCTGGGGTGACAGCTGGAGGAGTGGAGGTACTGGTGGGTGTCTGTGGGTTTGGAATACAGGTCAGTGGTTAGTGAGTTGCCTTGCTTGCGGACGGTGACATCCAGAAAGTGGGTTTGGTGAGCCGAGAACTCCGATGTGAATTTGATAGTTCTGTGGAAGGAATTGATGTGGTTAGTGAAGGTCAAGAGACTGTCCTCATCGCTGGTCCAGATGAAAAAAACATCATCAATATATCTCCACCAGATCCAAGGGCGACATGGGGCCGAGGCAAGAATGCGTTCTTCGAGGTCACCCATGAAGAGGCAAGCCATGGATGGGGCCATGCGAGTGCCCATTGCAGTGCCGTGTACCTGTAGATAGTGTTCACCAAGGAAGGAAAAATTGTTCTTCGTTAGTATAAGTCTCATGAGGGTGCCAACATCACTGATGGGAGGAGTCGTGTGTCCTGCCTTGGCCATGGCCAAGGAGCAAGCACGAACACCGTCCTCATGGGGGATGTTGGTGTACAGAGATGAGACGTCGAAAGTCCCAATGATGGCCGTGCTGGGAATCTGGTCCTTGATTCCTTCAAGCTTGCGTAGGAAGTCTGGGGTGTCGTGAATGTATGACGAAATCTGTGGGACAAGGGGTTTGAGAAAACTGTCAATGAACAGGGAGATGCGTTCCGCGGGTGAGCCATTACCGGAGATGATGGGTCTACCGGGGTTGCCAGCCTTGTGAATCTTGGGTAGAAGGTAAAATCTGGCAGTCCTACAATCAGAGGGAGAAAGAAATTTGTGAGCTTTCTTGGACAACTGGTCACGTGATCGCATATCGTCAAGTACCTGTTGTATATCTCGACAGAAAGTGCCTGTGGGGTCAGAGTCAAGGCGGGTATAGTTAGTGCGATTATCCAACTGACGGTGGGCCTCATCAATGTACTGCTGACGATCCATGATGACCACAGCATAACATAACACACACACAGACATACACGTTTGTGTATGGTGTAAATCAAGACTTTTCTTTTGTTCCTCTTCCCAAATGTGTGACTAAAAAGGCTTTGAAGAAAAACTTCGGGCCCCAGAAAAATATTGGACCGCACTCTAGTCATTCTACAAATCTCGCAACAGTTGTAATTATTTAACCCCAAGTCATGAAGACTGCCAACTCGGCGACCAAGACCAAGAGCTGTACTTCCAAGTCCAAGAATTTTACTTTTTAGACGGATACGTTGAAATCCTTTAGACCAATTACACAGAGACCAAAACCAAACTATGAAAAATGAAGACCTACATGTACATTAACTGATTGCAGTTAGATTTTAATTAACCCTAATGTCCCAAGGGCTCTTTGGGGGGTCAAGGACCAAAAATACCACAGAATACTACATGGGTTGTGCACACTTGAATGGAAAGAAATGCATACTACAGGTTACTACTCAGTAGTATTTTGTAGCTTTAGGTGAGGTAAGGGTTCATGGATGTACGATCATTGCTCAAGCCCATAAAGTATCACATTAATGGATGTATGATTGTCGTTCATAAAGTATCACAATGAATACAATTAGACTGCAGTTGCAACTGTGTCGAACTACAATGTATGACTAATACAAAATGCATTACCACGTGAAATTAATGGCTACTTATTGAGGTCATCACATTAGTTTTTATCCAGCTGAAGCTTCCAAGCTGAAGCTTCCATGTTTTTTTCCAAACTAACTTGAAGTTTTGAACTTTTTTAACCTTGTAAGAATGACATGTTCATTAGTAACCATTTGTGGAAAAATGAAGTTAATCGCATTTACCATTTGCCTTTTGTGAACCTTTTTACTGCGGTACCTGATTTACGTTTTTGTCTACGAGGCATCAGAATTCTGCATGAGGCCTACATGAAAATTGAATGATGGTTATTTGAATCACATGATGATGGGGACGTCCCGTTTGATTTCTAAACCAGGAACCAGAAGTTTCATTGTTGGGAGCTCTTAAAGTCGATTTTCTCACAAAACTTGCTTTGAAAACGATAGCATGTTGGAAAAACTTTCACTATTAAAAAGTAATAAGTCTCCTAAACAAGGGAAACAATTGGAAATGCAGCTAGGCCTGCAATCACGTAGGAATGCTTCACTTTTATATTGTGAAAGTTGATTGACTTCAGTTGAAAGAAATACTTCACTTTCGTAATGTGAAAGTTGATTGACTTCAGTTGGTTGTAACCAGTTCGTCATAGCCCGTAGCTCTGTCAACTCATTAAACTCCTCTGTGCATTAACAAAAGAGGGCGCTATTTACAGAAAGTAACAACCCCCTAATTATACCACAAAAATATGATGGTTCCTCTATTTCAATGGTTCCCATTTCACACTTATCCTGTAACATTTAAGAATGACTGAACACCAGGGAAGGCAGGGTTTATTCAGAATATGCTAATTTTCCCTCACCTACGTGTACCTATCTTGAGGAGGTGGTTGTGCAAGCCCCCCCCCCATGAGCCACCTTTTACCCATTCCTATTGGTCTTTAACACTTTGAAATTTGGACTCCTATGGAAATCCGGTGCCTTTTAGTTTTATTGGTTGGACGTTCACAATCCTCATGTAGGAATGCACAATACACTACCAGTGTGTCAGTATTTCAATCATAGTCTTATTAATTCACAATGCACCGGCACAGCTGTGTTTTGTGCCACACTCATGCCATTTCCATATAAGGAGTTGTTTATGATGATTCGTGAAAGAGACATAATATAGCTAGAGGGGTGTCCCAAAAAAACATGAAGTAAACTTGTTGAACAAAATCGTTGGAAATAATTAATTTTTCTCTTGTTTCGACTTTTGGGACGAAAAGTTATGATTTTTTTTGACCGAAAAGGTATTCATGAATGGGAATAAATATGTGTTTGGCCGGTATTAAACACTATGTTTATGACCGGTTGGAGTCTGTATGCTGATAATGACCCGAGCCGAATATCAATATCCAGACTCCAACTGGTCTGGAGTGTTTAAAACCGGCCAACAAAAATCATTTAACTAATGAAAATGTCACAAAAAGGCTTTCTTGGAGATCTTTCTTAAATTATGTTACCAGCATTATTTTTCTTGGAGATCTAATTATATTACTAGCATTCATGGCATTACCAATGCAATAAATTCAGGGGGAACCCATAGAAAACAAGGATTGTATAAAACAAGAACAAGTCCCAAAGTGGAATAACAATGGAAACAGCATGGAAGATACAGTAAGTTTAATACCATTACAATCTTTGTACAAATGTAATACAATTCTTTTCAATTTTACATGGAAACAACAGTCAGTAATATCTGTCTATGCCGGTAGTTCTATGTACAGTGTCATTTACAGACATGTGACAATCAAAAGAGTGTTTAGACTTAATTTATTTTACATTGGAAATCTGTTGATTTGTGGAAATCGAAAATGCAGTGGTAGAAGGAGTTGAGTTATTTCTTTAAAACAAAGTAAGCCATGCCTCCCCCAATACAATACCAGTGTTTCTCATTTGTGTTTCTCGATGATAAATAAATTACTATTCAGCTTTTGGAATTTAAAGAAACTTTTGGAAGGAGGATTAAGTGCTAAAACTAATCCTCCAGGTTCGGTTCATATCGGATTTTTTCCCTCGAACATCAGTTCGGATCGGAAGTACATGTACAATGAAAATCATATATACATACATATGTACATACATACGTATGCCGGATCGCGCTTTTAGTCGGCTTTTAAAAAGTCACCATTTCGCTCAAGTCGGTGTGTTACTCTCGGTCCCCTACAAAAAGCGCAACGAAATCTTTGTGTAAATCGGCATTTAGAAAATCACGCACTGGCATCGACTTCTTGCACTACGGTTGCGGTAACAAAATACATGAACATGTGCCACCACAGCGCGTATTATCAAAAAGGGGTTTCCCAAATACTAGCAATAATACTGCATTGTGAGCAACACCAGTAACCCCTCTTGCCTGCACGAATGTGCTCTGTCTATTTTGGGGGTCGCTTATCAAAGGACGCAGTGATGTTACTTTACCACACGCAACACGCATGCATTATGTACACATGGTCTACACTATAGCAATGCTACGTTGTACCGATTATGCACACCGAAGACGAAAAATCGCAGAGTTTAGCCCACCAAACAATGAAGATGAATATAGTGACTTGTTAACACTGTGAATTCAATCATCCATGCATTTCAATTTTAGCATTTCTAGCACTTTCAAAAAAATAGAATTTTTCCAAACTTCTGAACCAACAATTTCGGTTCAGTTCAGTTCGGTTCAGAATGCCATGTTTGGCTATATTCAGTTCGGTTTGGGGTTCAGCTACAGCACTATGAGGATAACATTACATGTATTTCTTTTCTTTTCTTTTCTCTCTGAAAGGGGAGTTTTGCTTTTGGATCCTATGATCTTATTCTATCTGCAGGATCTGCTCTTGGTAATGTCTGCAGAGGGATATTGTTCGTTGGTACTTGCTGCCTCTTTCTGCAGCAGAAGGCTTGCTTGAAGGCCTTCCTGTACCTTCCACTACCAGCATTGAATATGACTGAATTAATGGACGAGTTCATGATTAAGAGGCAAGCAGTCATCAGATCCAATTTCCATGCCACATCATCAGTTACATCCACTTCTTCCCTGCTATACATTATAATTGCAATTAGGGCACATATAGCTTGAGGCAGAAAACAGACAAATACCACGGCTGTGTTGATGCCAAGTATCAGAGTAACTCTTCGTAGATGTTTTGACGGACCACTGATCTGATCACCGGTTGGATTTGGTGCATGCAGTCCCTTAATTAGGAGGATATTGAAAGTGACCGTGAGGATCAAACTCAACATGAATACACAGAAACTCACGTACCTTAAAACCAGATTCAAAGTGAGCAAAGTTACATCATTATTCCCAAACACCCTCACATTACCTGATAGATGTTCATACTTTTCTTCAGTTGGCCAAACAACACATTTGATTAGTGGTACATTAAAGGCCAGAAACCGATAAAAGAAAACAATCAAATACATGAAAAAAGACAGTACCCATATGCAAACTGCTGCTCGTATTGCCCGTCGCTTCAGATTGAGATTACGGTGTTGGAAAGGGTAACAAATGGCAAAATATCTATCATAAGACAGCAGAGTTGCAAAGGCTATAGATGAAATAACACCCACATTGCATGTGAACGATAAGAGAGTAAGAACTGCTTGGGCTGAGTTCCCCAAATATGATACATCCGATATATGTTGTGTTGTAAAAACCAAACATTGCTCATGAGTAGTAATTGAAATCAAGACCATCAAATCTGCAACAGCCAAATTAGTCAGATAAAAATTAGTGATATTCCGCATGGAGGGAACCCTGCAAATGGTAAAGAAAAAAGACAGAATGGATAGGATCCCTAGTAGTTCGAGGACAGGAAGGACAAAACCATACATTACAGTCTCTGCGTTGGAATACACAAACGGGTCAGCCTCTGCCGGATACTCAAAAGCAAGGATTCGCAACGAGTGGTTCAACAGTTTGTATCTTTCATTGCTTGGTGCATCAAAGGATTCATTCATCGCTGCCCAGGGAGATGGTCCTGTTTCATCCCAGATCAGTGGATGATCCATCTGGGGAAGCGAATAGGCCACGGAGCAGTTGTCGCTGTTGTTCTGGAAGACACAGGTGAAGAAGGTACAGACCAGAATGTCCAGCTGTGCAAGGGATGCTGTAGCTTGGGCATAGACGGTGACATTTGCAGGGTACAACCACATGATTGACACAGAGTCTTCCTGCTGATGTATATTTTACGCAGTGTCAACAACAGTAGATGTGATTGTTCTGTGTCCTGTACAGATAACGGTATGATGGGTAGAGAAACACAGCAGAAGTTTGCTCACACTGAATGGAGGGCTGAAGAAAAGCGTGATTCGCAGATGACGACAAACTCAAGAAAGAAAAGTTTGACTAGTGAGAGTAACTGCAGGTTTGTTCAGCAGCAACGCAGTTGCAAAAAGAACAAACTCTCCCTCTCTTGTATGCAGCGCTGAATCAAAAGTCAAGGTACATGTAGCTGAATCAAACGTCAAGGTCCATGTACGACAGCCACCGTGTCGTGATCGGGTCACAGCTGGCCAGACGAACGATGCCACCTTCCAGTTTTCAGATTGGGCACTCGTTGAAAAGTCTGCCTCTCAAATAGTACACAGGTAACAAAGATTTGAACAAGTGCACGAAGGACAATCTGAAATAGCAGTTGCTGTTCCACTTGGGTACAGTTTCCAACCAACAGCTGTTTGAAGCCAGTGTTCTCTGTATTTCACCACTTCAACTTTAATAGGAAAAGAAGATTTGACTCTGCACTCAACTATCTGTCCCGTGTGTCCTCATAAGTCAAGTGGCAGCACGTGTTACCAAGTTTGATTGCTGGTTTAGTTGAAATTGAGAAAGTGTATAAGCATCAGTGTTTGAGGCTCAATGTCGATTGTACACATGATACTTTGTTAATGGCGACTTACTGTGATGTGGCTGCTAAGACAATGCAAAATGATCTTCACGAGAACGCAAAATGATCTTCAAGAGCAGGTGTTCTACTTAAATACTTTCATAAGTGGATCACATCGAAACTGACACGCTTGTGGCCACTTTCACCCTGACAAAATGACCTTGAAGATACAGTGCTCTGGTTAAAAACTTCAAACTACGAAACACCACATCAAAACTGAAAACGCAACTCTCAAAATCACATGAAGATGGGTTGTATCCTATTTTTGGTATTCAAGCTCGCAGCTTCCTTGTTTTGTTCCTTTCTTCCAAAGCCAATAGAACACGACACTTACACAAAATACAAGTCTTCTTAAATATAAGAAAGTATTGAAGGTACACCAAGGGCAAAGCCTGCTGAATTGAAAGGGAGTATGTTTTTCATTCTGTGAAAACCATGGTAAAGGCAGCAAAAGATCGGTTCCTATCCCAAGTTACATGCACATTATGACAAATTTGGTGCTTTGCATTTCAGGGCCGTAGCCAACCCATGTAGGGGTTAAAGCTACAGTCCATCATTTGCAGCTACCCAAAACGTAACTGACGTAATTATTGTTGAAAAACATAATTGGTTTAAATAGTAAGGGGACTAAACTCCCTGTGAAATTATTCCTTCTGGCATGCTGTCATTTTGAAGAAATCAGTGAAAGAAGCAGTCCTTCATTTTGAAGGAGCGCGATCGCGCAGGCGCTCCTACAGGAAGGGGAGTGTCGTTTTTCACCATAAAGTGGACCTATTCATGTGTAACAAATATAGATTGGCATGGAAATACACAATTGCGAAGAAACGGTGGACCTCCGGCAGTTTTTTGTGGGGGGAGGGGGTCGTTCAACCCCCGACCCCCTGGCCATGGGCCTGCATTTAAAGAACATACATGTAAGCTTTTGGAGGGAGGTGAAGTTCTTTTAGGTAGAGTACATCATTGTCCTTTGTGCAATTTTTTTTGTTCGAAGCAACAAAAGTGCTCAAAATCTAAAGAAGGGTGCTTAACAACTAACCTGATGAAGTTTCAGTTCAACGAATGCTGTATGTTCCGTATTCTAAAACAATATTCTAGGATCTTGATTTCAATTCAAAAGTTGCCGAGTCAAGTTTTGAATTGTGCCCGAAATCAGCATCCGGGACACTTTCTCATTCAGCCGATTGCAGCTCGCTATCAAGGTTCATGACATACATTAAGTCCAACCAAAAATAAGGATGCACGCACGCACACACGCAGTGGTATTCACACCGTTGATCGTGGACTTCCAATTGACCCTCTTTTGTTTGTACTTTAACTTTTAAGGATGACTCCCATATGTTTTGTACATGACCCCAATCGCGGACGTATGCTTGGAATCGCGGACGATATTGTTCTCTTTTGTTCTCCGGCATTTTTCGTCCACGGTCTGAGCCTGAACACACCCACAAATGCATGCACGTTTTTTTTCTGTTGTTCCTCTTCCCTTTTCCTTTGTTTATACTCTTTAACTTTTTTCAAGGTCGTCCTCAATTTGGTTCCTGTCCTCAATTCATCGATGATGTGTCCTCAATTTACACCATAAACACACACATGTAGTTGTGTTTTCCATAACTCTCGAGGACAAGCCATTGTCTTTTTCTTTGTCTCTGTAATATAACACTCTCCTATAGAATAGGCACATAAACGCACGATCAAGGACCGTTTTAAATAAAAGATGAACGATTGTGGTCAATAAAGAATCTGTTGTTCTCCCTCTTGTCTGTCTGTTCTAGAGGTGTATGTAGTGTACGCCCACAGGACTGACAAGACGGAAACAGTGTGTCCCTTCGGCTTCGCTGGTGGGGTACAAAAAAGACAGCTCCTTTGCATAAGTGCAAAATTAACATTCCTGCGGGAGTTTGTTTGTTCCCATGTGGACCATTTTCCTTGCTATGGAAAAGAATGAAGGGCTTACCTGAGGGCCTCCGAATAGTTTGGAGTGATCAAAGAACGGAGTCGACTCACTCGGCCTTGGCTGAAAGAAAAGAAGATTTTCAATCAGGCAGGCATGCAGACGGGAAGTCACAAAAAAAGAGGAAATTCAAATCTTTCCATGACTTTGTACAGTGTTTTTCTATTTTCAATGGCACACATTGGAAGTTAAAAAAAAGAGGAAATCAGCTAATCCGAGGAAAAGTTGCATGCCTGATCAGGGGAGGTGCCTAGTTGGCTTGTTACTCTCACAATATACAGAATTTTATCGTATGGATTCCGTTCACAGTACCCCCTCAACAGTTGCAAACAGAGAGTTTGGGGGACCATTGGAGCACGGATCCTACACATAAGGATTAACGACTTGGCCAAACTCCTGGTTAGACGCATGATAACAGCCAGTACTGGTGGCAAATACCATGGAAACTTGTCAAGAAAGACCCCTGCGCGTGGCGGCTTTCAAATTTGCAGGGCTCTGCGCATGATCTGATATCGAAGTCTGTCAAGCCAGCTAATTATATTTTTGAATATTCATGATCCTAAGTTTTTGGCCATTATTATTGAATTCTGATACGTGATAACTACATAACCATGTTAACATGGTTAACACCGAGCACAGTATCTTTAGCTTGCCTAAAAAGTGGAGTGGCGACGCGGCTTTTAAAATTTTTTACTGTTTTTTTTTTCTTCAAATGTCAGCTGATGACTGCAAATGGTGCCCGACTGAATTTAGTGCAAATATATGGGGGTCCAGAGAGACCACATAAAGCTTATTCTCGATCGTAACCCCATCTAGAAAAATGTTAAAATTGTGCAGCAGCAGGAATCCAGTCAAACCAGTGAGTTTGGCAGTTTTGAGACATCATCTTTCATTGACAATTTTTTTTTTCATTTTGCCGATGCACATGGCTAAGGCGACGCGCGTGCATACCAGGAACTGGAGACTTTTTTTTTGGCCTTTGAGCTCAGAACAGTCGTTCATCCTTGTGTGTAGGGTCCGTGATTGGAATGAAATTCTATTGCATCACCGTTGGCACACGACACCCAAGCCAAGAAACATTGGCTTTGCGCACATTCACAATATAAGATCAGTCGTGGGTATTTCACGCCATATGGCGGTGAGTCCTGTCCATTGGGCTCTCGGAAGTGGTCAAAAAGCGGTCACTTGTTCCCGCAGAAAGAGCAATTGACCGGCCTCGATTGACTGGCCGTGAGGAATACGTAAACCACGCTGACCGGCTATTCAGAGCGTACGCATTTCGAAGACTGCACTCCCTAAGGCGCTCACGCATTATCTCCTGCGTGTCACGTCACGTACGAACATTTTATTTCAAAACTGCAAGATGACTGAACGATATGGATTTTGGATGCATCATTTCCCAAACCCCCCCCCCCCAAAAAAACCTGTAACTTGTGTTGTAAACAGACGACAGAGGTACGAGATAAATACGAGGTAAAAGATAAATCCTTGCTTAATACCCCGTCATCCAAATCTCATGTTTGGAAGGATTGATTCTACCAAAAAAAAACTTTCACAATTTTAAGCACCACGCTGCAAGTTAGATACATTGACTGCAGTCCTAGTTTAAGCGTGCCACTATGTGGCACATTTATATTACATAATTCCAGGGGTCAAGATCGCGCAAGGCATGATGGGAAACCATCATGGTACCCATGGAAACGAGGTTGGCAATTGACTGCTCCTGCGCAGGGCCCGTGTCGAGTACTACCACTTACCGAGGCGCTGAATATCCTGCTAGGATCAAAGAACTGGGCCCGGGGCTGAGGCTGGGGTTGAGGCTGGGGCCTGGCCTGAGGTCTTGTGGGGAAGTATCGCGCCTGAGTCTGGTTACCAGATGCAAAGTGGGGACCAGGAAAGCGTTGGCTCGGCATCTGCATAACAAAGATAATAAATAGGAATCTGGTCTATAAGGTATTGCCCTTTGTCGACGTATTTTACAAACACTGTATACTCAGCCGAGTCTGATGTAGCAGGGGGTACTGCAATATAATTGGAAAATCACGCCGAAATAATTTTTTCTTCTTTGTAACAGGAAGATGAACTGGTGATTAATGAATGGAAGTATTTAGAACTTGATGAAATTTTCACTTTCTGTGAAATTTTAGTTAAAACTTTTGCTATAGGTAGGCGCTACAGGTGAAAAATCAAAGTCTGCCACGTTGGGGGCCGCGCCAAGTAAGGGTACATCAATAACACATTGCGTTTGTTTGTTGATCAATAGATTGAAACTATTGAGAGCTCGGGCAGTTTCAGGCTACAGGTATTAATGGGCTTGGTGGTTTAAGGCAATAAATTGACTCATGGGTTTAAAGGGGCACACAATCTAATGGGTGAAACTGATATTAATTGAAGATTTAAGATGTTACGTCCAAAAAGAATTCATCATTCCTCATTCAAATTTTGGTCCAGCACTTCTTACATT